GGCTTTTTTGCACCCTTTGGCGCAATGTGTGTGCACACTGCGCCAAAAGGGCGTCCTGATGCCACACGGCCTCAGGATGGATGCGCAGCATCAGGACAGCATCAGGGTAGAGTTGGGGCAGACAGCGTGCGACTGCCCTGCCCAAACTCCACCCCAGGCCAGTCCTTTGTGCCGGTTTGCATTGGCCCTTTATCACATGAGTCTATAAAAACAGAATTTTAACAGGATAAAAGCATCTTTGGCCAGTACCTAGCACACAATGTTAACTCTATCCTGGTGCTGCCTTGCATCCCATTTGTGACTGTAGTACACCTTTTTATTGATGGACAAAACCTGTCAATAGGCTCTCAATCCATGACTGCCTTTGTATGATAGGCCCCTTCTGCTGCAGTTCTGCTTCTCAGGCAGTCCCATGGTAGGAGTGGCTGTGATTCTATCCCTCTCCTTTTCTTCTGCTCCCCCTTGCAGTGAACACATCGCCAATAGCTTCCTGAAGCTGGCTGCTATGTGTCTGTTCACACAGCAGCTGGCTGCAGGAGGCACTTGGCCACCAGAATCGCTTGTGTGAATGTGGGCACAGCAGACCTGTGCTTCGGGAAGGGGAAGGAACAGCAATTGCTGCTGCCAACACATTCCTGAATCAGGCGGCTTTGTACACTTTCACAAAGCAGCCAGCTTTTGGGACCTTATCACACGGGGTCTAAAGCAGACCTAATCCAAAGGATATCCATAGCTAATCCGTATTAGTTCCCCGTGTTTACACTCGACACTGTACCAAAACTCGACAGAACCCGAAGCTAATCCGTATTAGTTCCCCGTGTTTACACACGACGTTGCACCGAAACTCGACAGAACCTGGAGCTAATCCGTAATGAATTGAGATCTTTTGACATTCGGTTTATCGGGGAAGTACAAGCGAGCTTTCGGAATTATTGCGCAATGGCCGCGCAGGCGAAATACATATGATCACGCAATACGTATTGTGAAGCATTTCAGTTCATTTCGGTATAGAACTGAATTTATTCTTATTTTGGTTACTTTTCGCTTCGTGGGCCAGCGTGTGATAAGGTCCTAAGAGACACTTGATAGCTTTGGGAAGTGGTTGGCAGCCGTGATCTGTTATCCATAGAATCACAGAGTTGGAAGAGACTGCAAGGACCATCCAGTCCAACCCCATTCTACCATGCAGGAACTCTCAATCAAAGCACCCCTGACAGATGGCCATCCAGCCTCTGTCTAAAAACCTCCAAAGAAGGAGACCCTACCACTCTCTGAGGGCTTGTGGTCCACTGTTGAACAGCTCTTAATGTCAGGAAGTTCCTCCTAATGTTGAGGTGGAATCTCTTTTCCTCTAGTTTGAATCGATTGCTCCGGGTCTTTTTCTCTGGAGCATCAGAAAACAAGCTTGCTCCCTCCTCAATATGATACTCCTTCAAATACTTAAACAGGACAAACATATCACCTCTTAACCTTCTCTTCTCCAGGCTAACAATACCCAGCTCCCTAAGTCTCTCATAAGGCATGGTTTCCAGACCCTTCACCATTTTGGTTGCTCTCCTCAGGACATGCTCCAGCTTGTCCTCCCGGAAAGTGGTACTTGGTAATGTGCAAAGCAGAACATGCAAGCATGGATTGCCAAAGTGGTATCAAGGGGAAAATTGTGATAAGAAATGATGCCAAACTGGTATGCTCCCATTCTTAAACTAGTGTGATTGTGGCAGGACAGAAGACTGGTGTGATAAAGTCCTAAGCGTGCACCGTGGGGATAGGTTGAAATCCCATGGCTGGCTCTATCATCAAGCAAAGTGAGATATTTCCCCCAGGCAGCAGATTTTGGATGTCCTGGAAGAGCTCTGAAATGTTATTTACCTTGTTGCTGCTGTGATGCTTCTGCCCAGGTAATGTTGAAAGGTGCTTGTGGAATTTTCTGCTGCCAAAAGAACTTGGCTGGCTTTGGGCACTCTGCATTTGCTGGTCTGAATCCGGGAGCAAAGTCTCTCAGGCCAGATCTAATGAAGTCCTATCCAAACTTACTTGGGAACACAGTGATACGTTTAAAATAATAATAAGAAGAATATTTTTAAAAGAAATATTTATGAAACACCTATCATATACAATCCAAACAGGATTTAAGGACAGAATAATAATATTAAAAATGCCTTAGAATTAAAACCAAACACAGCTAGACTGTTCAATCAGTGTCCATCAGGGAAAAAACAGGACAAGTGTCATAATACAATAAATGCTGTTTAAAATTCAAAGACATAGCTGTGTAGGTCTGTAGGATCAGTATGTAGAGAGATCTTGCAGCCCTTTTGAGACTAACTGCAAGAAAGAAGTTGGCAGCACGAGCTTTCATAAACTTCATTTCCTTCCTTGAATGCACCAGAGAATGTAAACCAGGGGTAGGCAACCTAAGGCCCGGGGGCCGGATGCGGCCCCCCGAGGCCTTTGGACCGGCCCCAGGCCAGTCCTGCCGCCGCCGCCGCCGCCGCCCGCCATGATGATATTGATTATTGTTGTTATTACTTGTTCTTGGGGGTTTCTTGGCAAAATCTCCACAGGGGTTTTGCCATGGCTTTTCTGGGGCTGAGAGAGTGTGCATGCATATTTTTTTAATTTAAAAAAGTATTTATTTATTTATTTATTTATTTTTGGTGCTTCGGCCCCCCCCAATTGTCTGAGGGACAGCAACCCGGCCCCCGGCTCAAAAAGGTTGCCTACCCCTGATATAAACTGAAGTCTATGAAAGTTCATGCTGCCAACTTCTTTCTTTCAGTTAGTCTCAAAGATGCTGCAAGATCTCTCTACATACTGTTTAAAATGTTTTCTATATGCACCAAAATGGCAACAGTTTCTGCCATAGCTTATTTCATGGGCTGGGTGCAGAGGTGTTTTAGAAAGTGGGTACCCCAATAGGAATGCCTCTGTTCTTAGTTGTCACCAAATGGATGTATGCAAGATGGTGAACAATTTCAATAGGTTTCTTGCAATGGGCATGTCAATCAATCAATCATTTACAGTCATAGACCAAATATAAAATGAAATGCATAAAATACATTCAAATACAACTAAATACAGCTACAATTCATAATACACTAAATACAGATGGCTCACTCTTTCTGCCTATATTCCTAAAATTAAAAGATGAGAAAATTTTAAAAGTGAAAATTTCATAGCTAAGACTGATGAATCTGTGTTAAAATCCACCCCCCTAAAATCTGTCTACAAGTAGTAATAGCACAGGCACAGAATCTAGCAACCTTCTCTATAATTTGAGCATTGGAGTCCCCAAGTAGGAAGGAGAGATAAAATGTTTCTGTTCTCCCTGGAAATGTGTGTAAAATTAGAGTAATTAGTTTAAAACAAACACCTTGGTAAAATGGACAGCACCAAAAAAACATGATCGATTTACTCTATTTCTAGATGTATACATGGACAAGTATGGTTGTCAAATGGATTTTTTTAATATATATATATTTACCTTCCAACACGATTGATGGCGGCACATTAAAACGTGCCATAGTAAAAGCACTGGCTTTGTTCTTAGCTGTCACCAAACGGACGTCCACAAGATGGTGAACAATTCTGATAGAAGGATTCTGGCAATGGGCATGTCTACATGGACCACTTACACCAGTTTCCCCCCACACTCACGTTGCCCTGTCCACATGAGCCAGAGCTGTAGACCCAATTGGAGTGAGGACTGTTTTTAAAAACCTCACTATTTCATAAAATTATACAATCATAGAGTTGGAAAAGACCACAAGGGCCATCCAGTCCAACC